ACTCTTCCTCTACCAGCTCTACCCTACCTCTACCTCTCACTCTCGCTCTTCCTCTACCAGCTCTACCCCTACCTCTACCTCTACCTCTCACTCTTCCTCTACCAGCTCTACCCCTACCTCTCACTCTTCCTCTACCAGCTCTACCCCTACCTCTACCTCTCACTCTTCCTCTACCAGCTCTACTCCTACCTCTCGCTCTTCCTCTACCAGCTCTACCCCTACCTCTACCTCTCACTCTTCCTCTACCAGCTCTACCCCTACTCCTACCTCTCACTCTTCCTCTACCAGCTCTACCTCTCACTCTTCCTCTACCAGCTCTACTCCTACCTCTCACTCTTCCTCTACCAGCTCTACCCCTACCTCTCACTCTTCCTCCCCCTCTCATTCTCACCCTCCCTCTTCCTCTCTCTACAACCTCTTCCGTTGTTGTTGTAAAAATAAGGTGCTCACTTGTGGTCTTTTCAGAGTGCTTACTTCCTGATTGAAGTGATAACAATTAACCATTGAGGTGTTTGGCCAGGTGGCACATACATTGACCAATTAGCTCATGTAGTGTCATTTTGAATGGCAGTGTTTTGAAAATGGCAAACATGTTCAGACTTTAAAGGTTTTGCTCTCTGTGTGTCAGTTTAAATAGATTGTGCTATGCATGTCATTTTAGTGTGTTAGCAATTGGAAAAAACTGTAATGTGATGATATTGTGCTCAATAGGGGAGAGGTGGCACCTGCTGGTCATATAGTAAATTACATCATGTAGTAATGAGCAGTGTGCATCAGTTGATGACAGATGAGCCATCAGTGTGCAGAGTAATCACTTCAGAAGTTGGTTGTGCGTGAATGAAAAGAGTGAGTACTTACCTGAAGTCTTATATGTGACATTGTGTGTTCTTTAATGTTGAGACAAAGTTATTAACTCCCACGGAGCCGGAGTTTAGAGCTTAGATGTTCGGCGTATTCTGGATATAATAATACATTTTTATTTTATAAGGCCTTTCAGGACACACAAGGACACTGTACAACAATCAACATTTTAAAAACAGCAATGGATAACAAAAACAGCATACAATAAAGAAATGGAATTGTGGACAGTGGAATTGCAGTTTAAAGTGTCAGAGTGAGTAGGTGATCTTGAACAGATGGGTTTTGAGTCTGGATTTGAAGATGGGGAGAGAGTCAATATTGCGAATGTCAGGTGGCAGAGAGTTGTAGAGCTGGGGAGCAGAGCAGCTGAAAGCTCTGCCCCCCCATGGTGTTGAGGCGGGCAAAGGGCACGGTGAGGTGGATGGATGAGGAGGATCTGAGGGTGCGGGCTGAAGTGCCGATGTGAAGGAGGTCAGACATTTATGGGGGGGCAAGGTTGTGGATGGCCTTGAAGGTGTACAGGAGTAGTTTGAAGATGATTCTTTGCTTCACCGGGAGCCAGTGGAGTTGCTGTAGGATGGGGGTGATGTGATGGTAAGAGGGGGTTTTGGTGACAATGCGGGCAGCAGAGTTTTGAACCAGTTGGAGCTTATGGAGGGATTTAAGAGGGAGGCCGAAGAGGAGAGAATTACAATAATCAATACGTAAGGTGACAAGGCTGTGGACAAGGATGGAGGCAGTATGGGGGGTGAGGGAGGGGCGGAGACGGTTGATGTTTCGTAAGTGGAAGTATGCAGACCGGGTTATTGATATGGGATTTGAATGATAGTGTGCTGTCGAGGATGACACCCAGACTCTTAACCTGAGGGGAAGGGGAAACTGAGGAGCTGTCAATAGTGAGGGAGAAACTGCCAACTTTGGATAATATGGATTTAGTGCCGACGAGAAGGATCTCGGTTTTATCACTGTTTAATTTAAGGAAGTTTGAGGAGAACCAGGATTTTATTTCAGATAAACAAGAAGTGAGGGAGGAGGGTGGAAGTGTGGAGTTTGGTTTACTGGAGAGGTAGAGCTGGGTGTCATCCGCAAAGCAGTGGAAAAGTATATTGAATTTACGGAAAAGGGCTTAGGACAGTCAAACAATGGACTTGGGCCTGCACCTCTGTAAAAGCCTCATTTGAGTTATTCACTGAGATCACAAAGAGGCCTAAAAGGACTCTTAATCCCAGAATCCCCTGCGGTACTTCACACCTACGCGTGAAGTAAGGGGGGACCGGAACCTCTCTCTCCTCATTGGAGGGGACCTGAGGTAGACCCCCCATGGAGCAGGCCAGGCTACAAAACTCCAAGACTTCCATTGCTCGACCTCTTTCCACGCGCTGACTTCTGGTGCTCAGAGATCCAAGCTTATCTCCTGTTTCCTGCAACAATCTTCCTTTGTTTTAAGTTTTTTGTCGCGCAGGTAATCCGCGGCCGGCAGTGTTCTAAATTCTGAGCTCGGATTGTCCAGTGAACGCATCTCAGTTTCTCGGAGAGCGTCAGACTATAACAGATTATCAGAAAGATAACGGTCTTATTCCGTCCTGCAACGAAAGGACATCAAAGGACATCTTTCCACTCGACGGAGAACCAACGAAGCCGCTCTTGCCGTAAGGGACCCTCGCCGCCATCAAACACCTCTGCACCAGGACGGACAGAAGATCTGTTTTATCGCCGGACTCTTTTCCTTCACCAATCGCGGACAAAGCGATTCACAAGTGAGGCTTAATTAGGTCTGGGCAGAACTAGCTTTAGAGAGTGTTTTTAACAATTGTTGATCGAAGCAGAAACTGTAATTTTTATCTTTGTTGGACCGCTGCGTCCTGAGTTTTAACTGTTCTAAACTCTTGTTGTTTCGGACCGCTGCGTCCTATATGTGTTTAGCGTAACAGCGTTATAACCGGGTATTACTCTTCTGATCAGAAAGGCCAGTGTAAGATGTATTCACTTGAATTTGGCTATTGGTTTGTTTCTGTGAATGAAGGGAATTACTCCGAGTTGTGGTGCGGGAGTCGGACTGTGATCCGGCCTCTTCAGGCACGCATTTCTCTTTTATTCTCTTTTATCCTCTTTTATTTCCCCTTCTACGAACATACACACACACATATTCCCGTGTAAACGTACATCTGGAGACCAACACCACCACCGCGCCATTACGCACAGAGATCTATACACTCGCGGCTATCCAGACGCCTCAGAGACACAGATCGTGTAGGGCCGAACTCAGTCTCTTTTAGACCTTAAGGCCACATTTAGGCCTTTGTTAGGTGTGTGCCATCGGAAGGGCGACCACGTGAGACGAAGCCATCTCCCCCCCTTTCTTCTTCCCCCTCTCTCTCTCTCTCTCTCTCTCTCACACACACACACACACACACACACACACACACACACACACACACACACACACACACACACACACACCTACATTCACACCCCTTCCACAAGCCTTTGCTTGATAATGTTTGTTGCTTAGATTAGTTTATAATAGTTATTTGTTTAATTAAATTCATTGATTTTGGATTGATGTTGCTTTGTTTAAATAAATTCTGTTATAATTTAAGAGAGTAGTTGTTTGTGATTACTGGTGTATTTGCATTGTGATATAAGCTGGGTGCGAAGGCTTTGTGTACGGATTTCACGCCTTCAATTTATTAAATATAGTTATTCATTATTAATAATATTAGTAATTAAATAACTAATTTGAGACTGATTTGAGTGATATTTTGGTTATATTTACCTGATTACAGGTTGGTGCCCCAAAACGAGATTAAACATAGTTTAATGATATTTTATTTATATTATTAATAATTAAGTATAATTATTAAAGAATATAACCAAAGTTGACTAGATACAACCCCAACAAATGGTGCCCCGTGTGAGGTCTTCAATAAACCAGCTTTATTGCACTGTAAATGCACAGTAATTCAAATTTTTAATCCTAAAAAAGATTTTTCTTGAGAAAAATTGTCTTTTCTTTTGAAGATTTACTTTTCTTGCTTGTTGTTTATTCAAAACAGACAGCAAGCTGTGGCTTAGTTTGTGTTGTATGTTGTTGAACATAATGATGCAGCCAGGGTGACTTTCTTAATGAACTAGTTGTTGCTTTAATCCAGAGTTTTATCCTGAAGTAATTCTTCTAAAGAAATGTATTTGTTGTGAACATTCTCATTTTAAGCAAAGCAGACATCAAGTTGTGTTTAGTTGTGTTGTTGTGTTTTGGTGAGTTGAGTAGTTTAATTTTTGTGGGCTCTTTGTTGTTTGAGACAACAATTTAGCCATTTTTCCAGTTGAGAGTGTAACCACATAATTGTTGCATAGCCAGCTGTCCGAGAGGTGTGAGTTCCTTCCTTCCTGTGAGGACTTGAGGTGTGAATCCCCTCTCCTAGCTTCCAGGATAGCCTGCAGTGATCAGTTGGGAAACCTAGATAAGATTTGCTCTGGTGTCGATCTAGCTTTGTTTAGCTTAGCGGTTTTGTTAACAGTAATCCACTTTGGTTCCATTTTATCACGTAAAATGTGTACCAAGACCCTAGGTGAGCCGGGAGCTGAGACTCCTTTTGGATCAGACGACGCAGCACTGCAAGAAACGGTTGCCAGTCTGACGCACCTCTCCTTAGAGGAGATAGCCGACCTAAATAGCTATTCAATTAGCATTTGTGAGAAGAAGTTAAAGGAGCTCATTGATCAGGCCAACCACCGAGCCAGGAAACCCCAAAGCATAATCCTGAATGTTCTTGGGCAACTCCTCCTTCTTTCCCAACGCAAGTCCTTCCTGCAGCAAACCCAGCTGCAAGTAGAAAAAGAAGCCCTGCAGAACCACATCCAATCCCTGTTGGCAGAAAATTCACACCTTCGCAGGTTTGAATCACCACATAGGGAGGGGGGTGACTTCTCAGCCCCCAGAGGCAGAGATAACACCAACCCCCCTCCTGCTACCTGCAAGTCCACACCGCATGGTCCACAGCTGAGAAGTTCCGAAACATCAGATGAATCGGATGGCTCCTGTCCACCCAGAGATCCAAGAATGCGCATAAGGCTCATTGAATCCCTGGCGGAGGATGTAGACCGGTTTGACCCAGGTAACCCACATTTCAGCATTGATGATTACCTCAGAGAGATCAACCTGCGCCCTACGCCTCTGTGATCTACCTGATGCATCCACACGAGAAAAACTCAAGCTGATCTGGAAGACAACTTCCAGGAGTGTCCATGACTTCATGACTACCCTCCGGCCTGAGATCAGAGACCAGTACTCAGCACTCTGCAACGCTTTGTGCGAGGAATTCTCCACCTACACCGACCCTGTATCTGCCCCTCTTAGAGCCTTTAGTGTCTGGCACCAGAAGCATGAGGCACCCAAAGATTATTACCGGCGCCTAAAATCTGCATATTTCCAGGGACGTAATGCTCCAGGTTTGGAAGAGGACCAGACTTTCAAGTCCTTATTCCTGCACAATCTGCATGGCTGTGTGCGTTACGATGTCACCATGCATTGCCGAACACATCAGCTTGGTATGCCAGAAATCAAGAAATTTGCACAGGTGGCTTGGGAAACACGCATACGTCCTGGGTTTTGGAAACACAATAGTGACCTAGCACTAGAAGGCAACAAATTGCCTTATGCTATGAATAAATCTAAGAAACCGCATCACCGGCAGAATAGACAACAGAACCAGGGGGGTGAAGGAAGGAGCCAGCCACAGGGTAGTTCCCAACCTGAAGTACTGATCACCACCAGACCCGAACAGAACTCTCGGGATAGCCGAAGCCCCAGACAGAGGGGTAGGCATAATCAGAGTTCCCATGAACTTCCTAAGGAAGCAGGTTCTGATGGGGGAATGGAGAACATGATCCGGAGGTGTGTGACAGAGGTGATTAGACAGTTGGAAGCCTCCAGCCCTTACAAAGAACAAGGTTCTGACTCCACAGTGGGGAGGGGGGAGTAGCCTCCACTGTAAAACCCACCAAAGTCACTCAGCGTTAATGCTTTCTAGTCTCTGTTTTATGACCTGACAGTGGTAGTGAGACACATAAAATACATACACATTTACACAACTACATGCCACATACACTGTCCCAAAGGTTTACTGCTGCCCAGGCTAGTAGTTAGCCCACAAATCTACACCTTCTCTTTCTCTCCCCCTCTTGCTTTTTTGTTTCATTTGTTTTGTTAAAGAATGCACCTTGAGTAGTAAAGCTTTGCTAATGCCTGTTTACGTTTTATGCCTAGCGTTAGACATAGTTAGACAGTCTGCCCAGACTTTGCCTCAGTGTCTGCCCAGACCAAAATGCCTCTAATATCTCTGAACTGTTAACCCTATGGACTGCTTCCCTAAGGAACTGCAAAACTGGGATGTGTCTCCATCCCAGACACATGGACTGTTTGGTCCGTGAGCTGCCCTGAAGATCGTAACCTGCATTTCGCTCTTCATGACAAGGGGGGATGTTGGGCCTCAGCCATGTGCATGGGACAAGCGACTCAGGCCTGTATCACAGTTCTCAAGCCTGACTAGAGTATTTTGGAGGGAACTGAACAAAGGGGTCTTAGCCCAGCAACCCCCCAACAGAAACCAACAAATAGGTGTGAAAAGTGGGGGGGGTGTCTGAATTTTCTATCCTCATTGGAGGAGGCCTGAGGTAAACCCACAGGCAGCTCCAGTCTTTAAAAGCAATCACCAGGCATTGCTTCCTTCTCTTCAAGTGTGGTCTGCCGACACCAGAGGATACCCTCTCCAACAAGATGGACTCCAGCATTCGAGACAAACCCTTTCCTGCTCTTCAAGTGTGGTCTGCCGACACCAGAGGATACCCTCTCCAACAAGATGGACTCCAGCATTCGAGACAAACCCTTTCCTGCTCTTCAAGTGTTGTCTGCTGACACCAGAGGATGCCCTCTCCAACAAGATGGACTCCATCATTCGAGACAAAGCCTTTCCTCCTCTTGACTTACATAGGTTAAACTCCAGAGCTGAGGTTGCTCAGTATAGGTAGCTCTTCACATGCTGGATTCAAGCATCAGAGGATTCAGCTGACTACTTCCACGGCATATTTTTAGGAGTTTTGGGCGCAATCAGATGCTATCAGGTTCGAGCAAAAAGAAGAGTTTCTTTCCTTTGATTTTTCGTAAGACGTCATTGAACGCAACTGGACAGGAGCGCTGAAGGAAGCCCACTGATCCCTGAATCCACAAGGACACATAAAGAACTCGGCTCCTGCAACCAGAATACCCTATAGAGCAGTGCTCTGGTCGAAGATTTGAATTCCGCTACCCTCCTCCTACATCTGCCACGAAGGAAACCTGCCTGAATCTGTTGATTTAACATTCAACAGAGTGACGATCTAACCAACTTTGCAACGATCACCAGGAATTACCCCAAGTAAGAGCTTTGGTCTGGGCAGAAATAGTTTCAGAAATAGTTATGTTTCTTTTATAACCACTGATAATTATGCATCATTGTTGACGACACGTCACATTCTGTATATTATCTGTTGTAAGCTACTGCATTTGTTTTATTGTAATGAACTGCTGTGTTCGTCTATGTGTTTAATGCTATGTTAGTTTACCTTCAGTCAACGGCTTTCACAATCAGAAAGACCAGTGTACCCGCCGTTGAATCAAAGTCCGGCCACTGGCTTTCTGGTGTTTAAGTAACAGTTACTGAACTCAGCTCAGAGAGCTCAAACTATTTCAAAAGGTAGCCACACGGCTTCCTTTGTTGTCCACCATTTTTGTCACCATGTGACGAAGCCACATGGTGCATTGTCTCTCTCCACCATCTCTCTCTCTCTCTCTCTCTCTCTCTCTCTCACACATCTACATACACACTCATCTGCACACACACACATTTACACCTCATCCACAAGCCTTTGCTTGATAATGTTTGTTGCTTAGATTAGTTTATAATAGTTATTTGTTTAATTAAGTTCATTGATTTTGGGTTGATGTTGCCTTGTTTAAATAAATTCTGTTATAATTTAAGAGAGCAGTTGTTTGTGATTACTGGTGTATTTGCATTGTGATATAAGCTGGGTGAGAAGGCTTTGTGTACGGATTTCACGCCTTCAATTTATTAAATATAGTTATTCATTATTAATAATATTAGTAATTAAATAACTAATGTGAGACTGATTTGAGTGATATTTTGGTTATATTTACCTGATTACAGGTTGGTGCCCCAAAACGAGATTAAACATAGTTTAATGATATTTTATTTATATTATTAATAATTAAGTATAATTATTAAAGAATATAACCAAAGTTGACTTGATACAACCCCAACACTGCCAAGGGGGAGAAGGTAGGTGATGAAGAGAAGGGCTTGGATTTGAAGGATTTGAGCTGTATGAACTGAGTGCGGCCTGAGAGATAAGAGTGGAACCAGGTAAGGGGGGTGTGAGTGATGCCAATGGAGGAGAGTCTACTGAGGAGGATGGGGTGTGAGATAGTGTCAAAGGCTGCACTCAGGTCAAGAAGGATGAGGATGGAAAGTAAGCCGGAGTCAGAAGCAATGAGGAGATCGTTGGTGATTTTTAGTAGAGCAGTTTCTGTACTGTGACGGGGGCGGAAACCGGACTGGAAGGGCTCATAGAGGCTATTTTGATTTAAGTGAGACTGTAGCTGGGTGGCGACTATTTTTTCCAGAATTTTGGAGATGAAAGGTAAGTTAGAAATGGGGCGGAGGTTATTGAAGTTGTTAGGATCTGAACCAGGTTTTTTCAATATAGGAGTGACAGCTGCAGTTTTGAATAATGAAGGAACAATTCCAGTGGTGAGGGAGGCGTGAATGATGGCAGATATGAGGGGAAGCAGAGAAGAGAGGCAAGATCTGACCAAGGTTGTGGGCAGGGGATCAAGCTGACAAGTGGAGGGCTTGGATTTTTGGATGAGGTCAGAGATTTCAGAGGGATCAGGGAATTGAAAACAGGAAAGCGACTGATAGTACGGGAGAGATTCAGGAGGGGAGATAAGCAGTGGGTTTGGACATAAGTGCTGGTGAATATTGTGAATTTTCTCATTAAAAGAGATGAGATGAGATGAGATTCAACTTCATTGTCATTGCACATATACAAGTATAGAGTAACGAAATGAGGTTTGGCATCTCACCAGAAGTGCACATAAGCAGAAAGTGCAAGAGTCTGTGCTATGTACAGTAATTATAAAATTTACAGATGTAGACTAAAAAAAGTGAATTATTAGGTATATATGGATGGCTGGATTAATGGGATGCTATAAATATAAATAAATGCTATAAATATAAGTGTATTCTTAGGATTATAATATACAGATTAAGGTGCAGTGAGCATGCTATACTAATAATATACAGATTAAGGTGCAGTGAGCATGCTATACTAGTTTACAGATAATATAAAGAATATGGACATATGAACATACTATAATACAATAATACAGGTGGATGAGAGATGTGTGTGTGTGACCAGGAGGAGTGGTGGGGGGGATGATGGGTGTGAGGTGATATGCAGGGGAAAGGGGGGGGTCAGCAGGGGGCGGAGAGAGAGAGGGATAGAGAGAGAGAGACAGAGTTCAGAGTTCGGGGGTTAGAGTTCAGTAGAGAGACAGCTCTGGGGAAAAAGCTGTTCCTCAGTCTGCTGGTTCTGGTCCGGAGGCTTCTGAAGCGCCTACCGGAGGGGAGGAGGGTAAACAGTCTGTGGGCAGGGTGGGAAGAGTCTTTAAGGATGCCGTGAGCTCGCCGCAGACAGTGTTTCCTTTGGACATCCTCAATGGCAGGAAGTGGACACCTTGTGATATGCTGGGCGGTTTTTACCACCCGCTGTAGCGCCTTACGGTCTGTGACAGAGCAGTTTCCGTACCAGACTGAGACACTGCTGGTCAGGATGCTCTCGATCACACAGCGGTAGAAGTTCATCAGTACAGCTGAAGACAGGTGGTGTCTCTTCAGTGTCCTCAGGAAAAAGAAGCGTTGATGAGCCTTCTTAAACAGACTGGAGGTGTTAGTGGACCAGGAGAGGTCCTCTGTGATGTGGGTCCCCAGGAACTTGAAGCTGGACACACGTTCAACAGCCATCCCGTTGATGTGAATGGGGTTGCGCGTGCTTCCTCTTTCTCTCCTGAAGTCCACGATGAGCTCCTTCGTCTTGCTGGTGTTGAGGAGCAGGTTGTTGTCAGCACACCAGGAGGCCAGATGCTGTACCTCCTCCCTGTAGGCTGTGTCATCGTTGTTGCTGATGAGGCCAATCACCGCCGTATCGTCCGCAAACTTGATGATTGTGTTGGATCCATGTACAGGTCTGCAGTCGTGGGTGAAGAGGGAGTAGAGGAATGGGCTCAGCACACAGCCCTGTGGTACGCCTGTGTTGAGTGTGATGGTGGTGGAGCAGGTGTGTCCTGACCTAACATACTGGGGTCTGTTGGTCAGAAAGTCCATTATCCAGTGACGGAGGGAGGTGTTGAAGGCCAGGTCTCCGACTTTAGTGTTTAACTTGGAGGGGATGACAGAGTTGAATGCTGAGCTAAAATCAACAAACAGCATTCGTGCGTATGTGTTGTTATTGTCCAGATGTGTGAGCACAGAGTGCAGCGCAGTGGAAACTGCATCCTCTGTACTCCTATTGCTGCGGTAGGCAAACTGGTATGGGTCCAGTGTGGGTGGGAGGCAGTTTTTCAGGTGTGCTAGGACCAGTCGCTCAAAGCACTTCATTATGATGGGTGTGAGTGCTACAGGGCGGTAGTCATTCAGGTCTGTCGGGCTGGAGTGTTTCGGCACTGGGACAATGGAGGTGGCTTTGAAGCATGCTGGCACAGCTGCTTGGGCGAGGGACAGGTTGAAGATGTCCGTAAAAACCCCAGTGAGCTGCTCCACACATGCTCTAAGCACGCGCCCGGGGGTGCCGTCTGGACCAGCAGCCTTTCGAGCGTTGATCCGGCTCAGTGCAGCGTGGACGTCTGTACAGGTGAGTGAGAGGGGGTGGTTGTCTGCAGGAGGTCTGGTCGTGGCCTGCGTCTCCCTGTTGTCTCTATCGAAACGAGCATAAAAGTGATTTAGCTCGTTCAGGAAGGAGACATCTGTGGTTATCGGGGTGGAGTTTCTGGGTTTATAGTCACTGATGGCCTGGATGCCCTGCCACATGCGTCTGGGGTCGGAGTTGGAGAAGTGTTCCTCAACCTTCAGATTGTAGCAGTGCTTGGCCTTGATGATGCCCCTCCTCAGGTTTGCCCTGGATACGCTGTAGGCCATTGCATCATCTGATCTGAAGGCGGTGTTGCGGGCCTTCAGCAGGAGACGCACCTCCTTGTTCATCCATGGCTTCTGATTTGGGTACGTGGTGATCTGCTTCCATGTTGTAACACTGTCGATGGTGGTATTGATATAGTCCAGCACAGAAGAAGTGTAGGTGTCAATGTCTGTGTGAGAGCCCAAGGTAGCAGGTAGTCCGGTTGAGCAGTCTGTTGTTTACTGATAGCGGTGTAAAGTTCCTTCATAGCAGCTTTTGCATCGGCATCAGGGGGGATGTAGGCTGCAGTTACAATAGTGGAGCTGAGCTCCCTTGGCTGAAAAAAAACACTATATGCTAATTAGCTGACACCACGGCCCCCGACATCCCTAACTTTGAGTGTCTCCTCTTACAGAGTGGACACTCCTGGTTCTCCTTCTCCTTCCAGCAGTCCTTCACACACTCTCTACAGAAGCTGTGGCTGCAGGACAGCGTCACTGGATCTTTAAAGATGTCGAGGCAGATCGGACAGCTCAGATCTTCTTCTAACTTGGACGCCATTTTATCTCAGAGTCAAAACACGCAGCAGAAAAAAACAGGAAGCCACTCCCCGTCCCTGAGAGTTACTTTCACCTTGAAACTCTCGTTCAGTTTGTGGATTCAGCAGCAGGTTGAAGTGTTTGTATTCCCAGTATTCCCAGTATAACAAGTACTCCCAGTATCCCCTCCTCCTCCTCCTGTCCTCTCTCAGTGGAAGTCGTGCTGGTTTATGTCTGCAGGTCGGTCCGTCTGTCAGTGTGTGTGTGTCTCTTCAGGGTGAGGCAGAATAACAGCCTGTTTCCTGGTTTGTCTCAGACGAAACAGTTGAGGGGGCGGAGCTTCTTCAGAGCAGGAACACAGAGAACAGTCTCATTTCTCTGGGGGGGGAAGTGTCATTGATCAGCTGACTGAGCAGACAAACGTGACAGTCTTTTTCTTTTCTTTTTTTAACAACTTCATTGTAAACACAGACAATGTTACAAAGTTAGATTAAGGAACAAAGGAACATGCCAGGGGTTGACAAAGACTAAGACAAGTAAAAACATAGGGAAGGGTAGAAATGGAAGGGTCATCAGTTTACACAATTAAAATAAATACAACATTCAAGAGTCTTCATGGCCTTGGGGTTCTCAGAGTGCTGGATGGTTTTCATGTACTGCTGCAGCTCATTAAAATAATGTTTGAAAATGGGTTTTCTGTTTGCAAATTTACTTTTATGGATATCAAATTTAACCAAAATGATAAAAAGATTAATAATATGGTACTGTTTTAGTTCCAGACAAACGTGACAGTCGTCTCTAGCATTGTCGTGACCAATGACGTGTTGAACCTACGCCCGCACGTCGCTTCGTCTTAACCTGTAAAAACTAACTTCCATGCTAAAATAAAAATGTAAAAAGTGGGAGAAAGTAGAAATTCCCAGCTTTCCAGTGGTACCACAAATGTGTCATTCAGACGGCTCCACAGTACGATCGCGTTGTGCAGCACATTTAAACCATCAGGTTATTAAAACTGTTAAAGTTACTCATAGTTTCTGCAGAGTGTTGGGCATACAGCTCCCATCTGCTCACAGCTTCTATATCACTGTGCACATGCTGAAGTGTTTCTGAGAGGTTTTCAACATATCAAAGAAACCATGGACGTTTGATCATCCTGTCACACAGAGCAGCAACTAGATTTGATCATAGATTTAGGAGTTTTAGTTGATTACTATTTTAATAACTGCAGAACAACCTCTAAAAGGGAGAGAGAGCTCATACAGATAAGAGAGAGTGTGCCATTACTATGGAGCTATTATTGTGGCAAAACTATTTGAATATGTGTACACAGATCCACAAATGTGTAAACTAATCTGTAAATATGGAGACTAATTTCAAAATGTTTACTTATTTATTAACACTAGAACGACCGACTTTCTATCACTACTTGAAAGGTCATAGCGGTCATTTTGACTGTTTACGAATTATTTGCATATCATTTCAATAATCAATATCAAATATAAGAATAAATGGATCTGTAATGTTGTGAAAGGTATAATAAACTTCAGGACACAAACATTAAATTCCAATGAATTTGAAATTTGAATAGTTTATCGACAACCACGGAAACATTCTCAGGTTCAATCTCAGAGCCGGTGTCAGATGAAGAGAGACCAGGAGACATCACTTTCTGTATCTGAACCTGCCTCCATCAGACTCTGCCTCATCAAGGCTCTGGAGCCTCTGTGGCAGCAATCCTCCTCCTTCCTGTCATTTCATTCTATTCTGTTCTAAATCAGATCCTAATTTACTCTATTCTGCCTTTTCAATGTTGATTCATTCAAATGTGTGTCTCCTATTCTTTCTATATGGTTTTAGGCGGGTAAGCTTTCTTTCCTCATTGGCTTGAGCGTTATAAACAACAGTTGCTAGGTAACAGCGATGTGCACCTTCAACTATTGGTGGGCGATATAGCGATCTTAGATCGTGAAGGATTTTAACTTGCTGACGATCTGCCAAAGCAGAGAGATCGTAGAACCGGGCTAATGTGTTTATTTTATCATGCTGCAGTTTATGCTCCCACACAGACGCCCCCCCCTCCCCCCCTCTTCTGCTCCGCAGCAGTGAAAACGAAACTTAAAAGTAAAGTCCGCAAAAACAACTCCATCTCGGTTATATGCAACTGTTCTGATATATTTCCAAACCGACACGCTGTGAGCACCAGTTAACTTATCTGCATAGTTTGCACAGTTAAGATTAGTCTACATCTACAGACAGCGACACGGAGAGACGTTAACAGTCAGAGACAGACAGGTTGGAGCTCAGACAGACAGTGAGGGGAGATATAACCCCGGTGTTTCAAATGTTGCTGTCGGTGTTTTCTGCTCTCTCTCAGTTTTTAAAAGTTACTTATCAAGCTTCTCCACCTGAAGCTCACCTGTTGTGATAACTGAACCTATAGGGATTACACTAAACGACGTTACAAAGCAGCAGGCAGGTGAGAGTGAGTAACCATGGTGACTGCCTGTCTATCAATCAACAATGTCCCGCCCCCTCTATGAATTAAACTCTTCTGTCAGTAAAACTTACTTTGATCATGTGTCACAGAATGAACACATTCTGTATTATGTTTGATTATATATAAACTAAACTAAAGTTAGTCCAATGATGTCATAAAAACAACAAAGTCTGCAGAGCCTGTATGAAGCTCCAGCTGGAGGAACTCTGCAGGGCTAAAACAGAACAGAAACACTTGAAGTCTACATGTTTTTAAATGAATGCATCACTGTTTTTCTTTGTCTGAATTCTCCCAGGTTACTTTGATATCACGCTGAGAAAAGAAGGTTTTTCAATTCACCGTCAGAAAGTTGAGGCTAATGTGAAGCACCCTGTGACACAAACATAAGAGCTGTTATATTACACTGCCAACTATCCTCTCCGTGTTTCTAAACGTAACACCAGCTTATTGATAATATATCAGTAACAGCTGAAGCGTTATCTCTACTCGCTCTATCTTCAGACCTAAACTGACCCCATCACAACATGAACCAAACAAACATGTCTTCTCACATGATGTGAACACGATCAGTGAGCCAGACTGTCTCTGCATCGCTGGATTATTTGAAGAGAAGTGACAGATCGGATCAAATATCCGTATCTGGTCTGATATTGATGTAATTTACATGTCGGACTGACGGCGTTGATCCATGTCACCGATGAAGACGGATCTTTGGGTGCTTTCAATGTTATCAGCTCACAAAGTCTCTCTATGAAGACGTTCAGACAGAACTGTAAGAAGTGTCCATAAATCGTCTCCATGACGACGTTCAGATGAGATAGAGCATCTCCTTCTATGAGATCAAAAGTACAACTCTTACACTTCAGTTTCAACCTTTTAATTTGAAAAACCTGACAGTTGTTGCTGCTTCCTGTTTGCATGTGAAGCCAGCACAACGTTCAGTTGTCTGTGAATCATTTGAATTAGTATGCAGTGTCTGGACTCTGTTCCTCTCCCTCAGCTCTGGGCTTGTGTCTCAGCGGTTGTCGCAGTTTCTCTGCGCTGGCCGAGTTACCGGACACTCATCAGATCCTCAGACAAACCTGCAGAGACTTCGCCGACAGAGAACTGACCCCCATCGCTGGCAGACTAGACAGAGAGCATGCCTTTCCCCTGAAACAGGTACACACACACACACACACACACATACACACACACTCACACACTCACTCACTCACTCACTCACTCACTCACTCACTCACTCACTCACTCACTCACTCTCACACTCACTCACTCACTCACTCACTCTCTCACACTCACTCACTCACTCACTCACTCACTCTCTCACACTCACTCACTCACTCACTCACTCACTCTCACACTCACTCACTCACTCACTCACTCTCTCACACTCACTCACTCACTCACTCACTCACTCTCTCACACTCACTCACTCACTCTCACACTCACACTCACACTCACTCACTCTCACACTCACACTCACACTCACTCTCACACTCACACTCACTCTCACACTCACACTCACACTCACACTCACTCACTCTCTCACACACACACTCACACACACACGTTACTGTAATTGAGTAGTTTTTTGCTGTACTTACGACTTTTTAAGTCGTTTTTAAAATCTGTACTTTTACTTAAGTAGGTTTTCTGTTAAGTTCCGAGCGATAAACACATTTAGTTCGGGAAAGTTTTTCACAATAAAAGTCCCTAATTGCCATTTCTGATGTGCTTTTATTTTGAAAAAGACATGAGGAAGTTGGGTGTTATAAGCTGCTGTAATTTAACACATCTCAGATGTGTGAAAATAAATACTTCAAACCAAACAGATTGGTCAGAAGCTTCAGGAGCTAAGAGGTAAACAAACAAAGAATAAAACATCTAATATTTAAACTCATAAAGGCTAATTTTAAAACAATAAGTGGATTATCTTTCATCTCAGGTTTCTTTGAGACTAAACAGCCTCAGAATAATAAAACTAAAAACACTAAAATACTCTTTACACCTCTGCTGGCTACACACCAGACGATCATGAGGCCCGTTTTGCGCCCCAAACGTTCGGGGTCGTTTTTTTTAAAATATCGTTTTGATACTTTGGATACTTCAGGAAAAACAAACAGTTCTCTTTCAGGTTCAGGAGCTGGGAGCGATGGGCGTGATGGCCATGGAGGTCCCGGAGGAGCTGGGCGGAGCCGGGATGGACTACCTGGCGTACAGTTTGGCGGTGGAGGAGATCAGCAGAGGCTGCGCCAGCACGGGATGCGTGGTGTCCGTTAACAACGTGAGCCCGGTCGGTCGCCATAGCAACGTGTATTTGTGTTGTGACGTTGTCGTGTTTACCTCTGTGCGCGTCTTCTTCCTCGCAGTCGCTCTACATCGGACCCGTCCTGAAGTTCGGCACAGAGGAACAGAAGACGGAGTGGATCACGCCGTTCACCACCGGGGAGAAGGTGGGCTGCTTCGCCCTCAGCGAGCCGGGTAAACGCCACGCCTCACGCACGTGTTCACGCCCCTAATAAGACGAGGGATAAAAACTGAGGAGTCTTAAAGACGCCATTTTAGAATAAAGTTAGCCACCTGTGTCTCTAAACTGATCTGCACGTCTCCTCCAGGTAACGGCAGCGACGCGGGCGCGGCGTCCACGGTGGCTCGTCAGGAGGGAGACGAGTGGGTGCTGAACGGAACCAAAGCCTGGATCACCAACAGCTGGGACGCCGCGGCCACCGTCGTGTTCGCCACCACGGACAAGAAGCTCAAACACAAGGTGACACACACACACACACACACACACACACACACACACACACACACACTCAGAACGCAGTGTGACCACAGAGCGTGCCCTCGTTGTGTCTGCAGGGCATCAGCGCCTTCCTGATCCCGATGCCTCACCCGGGCCTCTCTCTGGGGAAGAAGGAGGACAAGCTGGGCATCAAAGCCACGTCCACGGCCAACATCATCCTGGAGGACTGCAGGGTGCCGCTGGGGAACATGCTGGGTCCTCGAGGTGCAGGATTCAAGATCGCCATGGTAACTAGAGCAGCCAACATGTCGGAGCGAGAGCTGAATCCTTTGCCAAATAAATTCTGATTCTGATTCGGTTAGAGGATTCAGATTCCCCGCCTGGCGAGTCGTTAAAGACCGTATTCAGGAAACGCAGTTGACAGCGGCGTGCTAAGTGACCTGCAGCGAGCACGTGTTTTGTCTAATGATAACATTACGATTAGTGAAGTCTTCACCTCTCTGCCCCGCTCAGCAAACTCTGGACAGCGGGAGGATCGGTATCGCCGCTCAGGCTCTCGGTATCGCTCAGGCCTCTCTGGACTGCGCCGCAGACTACGCACACAAACGCATCGCTTTCGGAGCGCCCATCGGAAAACTGCAGGCCGTACAGGTAACCACGCACCTCATCAGTTTTTAGAGAATGGAAACAGGATCTTTGATGTTCCTGCTTCATAGATAAATCATCTTGAGTTTTTTTCCACCTGGTTTAGTTCAAACTTGCCGACATGAACGTGGCGGTGGAGAGCGCTCGTCTGCTCACCTGGAAGGCCGCCCTCCTTCGAGATTCAAAGAAACCTTTCACAAAGGTAAAAATCTCACTTGATGCTTTGTGTAGAAAACTGTCTTTGGGTATCACATTTTGTGTTGCTTTCCCTTTAATTCTGTGTTTTATTAGTGCTTAGTGCTCATTGGTCCAGGAGCAATCCATCATAGCAGTCTCCAATTATATTGTGTTTAGCGTTAGCTCCTCCCTCTTTTATAATGGCTTCTCAGTGGAATCGTTCTTTCTGGCCTTTCTCCTGGACCAAGTTAGATGTATAGACTGGTTACAAGTTTCCAGAGTGGTATTGTTTGCATCCTTGTGGTTCCTTTGTGTGCGTCTCCCTGACAAGAAAGTAAGTTTTATCTATTTGTGTGTATTTAGTACATTTCTGTAATATTTTGATACAAATCGTTGAGATGTCATGTCTGCCTTGATTCCCTGAGCTCAATTAGGAGCAACAAGAAACACCTGTGCTGGCTGCAGCAATCAGCCACAGGTGAATGAGATCAGGTCTCCCATAAAGGGAAGGAGAGTTCACTGCTCAGTTTGCTCTCCAAAGGACGAGACCTGTTCCACCTTTCTTTGCCGAGTGCATCCACATGTGAGTTATTGTTTCAGTAAGTGAGTTTAGTGTTTGTTTGTTTGTTTGTTTATGATGCATAGGCAGACTTGATTTATTGTTTAATTGATTCATCCTCTGTTTACTGAGCCTGTTTAGAATTATTGAACATTATTTTGTTTACAAGGCAAATCATTAATTGTTATATTTTGTCTCCGAAACAGAAAAAAAACACTTGACAAATTAAGGAAAAAACCTTAAAGTGGAATCATTCCCATGCCTCAACTCAACTTTTGATGTCAATGAGCTTCAGCCCTCAACATTTAGGTTACACCTAAAACACAAATAGATAAAACCTACTTTCATGTCAGGGAGACGCACACAAAGGAACCAGGCCACCAGAGCTATAGTGAAAACAGTGCAACGGCTTCAGGGGATTTCGCCGAAGGCACCGAACTTTGTAATGGGTGATTTTATTCATTGTAAACCAGAGAAGTCCTTATGTAACTTCTACCAGTACGTGACCTGTCCGACACGTCTCACAAAAACACTGGACCTTTGCTATGGATCCGTGACAGGAGCGTATAAATCCCTTCGGAGATCTCCGCTTGGTACGTCTGACCACTACGTCATCTATTTGGCTCCGTCCTACAAATCGGTCCTGAAGAGGAACAAGCCAGAACAAAGATTGGTTCCGGTCTGGTCGAAGGAATCAGTTAAATGTCTCCAGGACTGTTATTCTTGCACAGACTGGGACCTGTTTAAAGTTAACTGTACTGACATTGATGAGCTCACAGAGACTGTGTCAGCTTACATCACCTTCTGCAAGGATTTGGTCATCCCCCAAAAATGAGTCTCCATCTATCCAAATAATAAGCCATGGATTTCTAAGTCTGTCAAGAGCACAATTATCCAACTAAATATCAGTTTTAATAAAGGGGATATGACTCAGTACAGGGAACTACAAAAACAAAATAATATCGAAATAAAGCATGCAAAGCGTAGCTACAAGGACAAAGTAGATGAAATGTTCATTTCTGGATATTCACGACCTGCATGGGAGGGTGTGAAATCTATAACGGGGATACAATCTAAGAAATGTACAATCTCCCTTGATGACAAGCTTGATGTTGAACTGTCCAATGAACTGAACTTTTTCTTTAATCCGTTTAACGACCGCGACTTCAGTAAAGAACAGTCAACTTTTAAAAACGTTTCCCCAGGGCAGGCCAGCATCGATGTTGATGAGGGCATGGTCCTGAGACACTTCCGTAGCGTCAAGGAAAGGAAAAGTCTGGGACCTGATAGAATTGGAGGGCGCATCCTAAAGAACTGTGCTGTAGAGCTGGCAGGGATCTTCTGTTTTATCTTTAAATTGTCTCTCCACATTCACAGAGTTCCTTGTTTATGGAAAGATTCCATAATTGTACCTGTGCCCAAAAATCCTTTTCCTAAAGCACTCAGTGACTTTAGACCTATAGCGCTTACCTCTCTTGTAATGAAGTAATTTGAGAAGCTTGTAAAGGACTGACTTTTAAAAACTGTGGAAGCAAATTTGGATCCATTACAATTTGCATATAGGTCAGGTAGGGGTGTTGAGGACGCAATGGGCACTTTGTTCAACACAGTCCTGACACACCTTGAGGGGGCGAAGTCCCTCACACACCTAGTTTTTATTGATTTCAATTGCATACAACCACACATCTTAGCAGATAGGCTCAAGTCCATCCACAACATTGACAGTGGTCTTATATGCTGGCTGATGGAATTTTTAACAAGAAGGTCACAGCGTGTGAGAGCAAATGGCATCGTATCAGATGTTCTTTATTCCTCCACTGGATCACCCCAGGGATGTGTCCTTTCTCCCCTTTTATTTGTACTATACACAAATGAGTGTCAAAGCAGACATGAGAACCGGCACATCATCAAGTTTGCAGATGACTCGGTGATCGTTTCCCTCCTGAGCACTGATGACCCAGATCACGGCCCTGTCCTGACTGAATTCACAGACTGGTGTAGGTCATCCTTCCTGGACATTAATGTCCTAAAGACTAAAGAAATGACAGTGGATTTCAGGAATAATCCCTGTTTTTATTAACAACCAGGCTGTTGAGGTGCTGCACCAGTACAAGTACCTGGGGACTATCATCGATGACAAACTCACCTTCGAACTCCAAACTGAAGCTGTCTGCAAAAAAGCTCATCAGCGTGTGCACTTTCTGAGGAAGCTTAGGAATTTTAATGTTGACAGCACTTTTATGAAGATGTTTTATTCCTGTTTTATTGAATCAGTTTTAACATTCTGCATGGTGACCTGGTACGGATCACTCGGCATCAAAAACCGCAAAATGTGTGTCAGAATCTCAGGATCGTCCCTTTCTGACCTTTCTTACTTATATAAAATAAGGTGTCTTAAGAAAGCTCAGTCAATCTTGGGCAGAACAAAGTCATCCTTTGTCCAAGGATTTGAAGTTGCTGCCGTCAGGCCGCAGAGTCAGCCTGCCAGCATGCAGGACAAAGAGGTTGAGAAACTCATTTGTTCCTGCTGCCGTCACCTTTTTAAACCACTGTGTGTTGTGTTTCTTATCTATTGTATTTATTTACAGTCCTTTCTATGTTGTTTGCTCATTTCGGGCTGTCTGTATGTGTGTGTTTTTACTGCTGACTGCAAAACAAATTGCAGGGATAATAAAGACAACCTTGAACCTTGGTCCAGGAGAAAGGCCAGAAAGAACGATTCCACTGAGAAGCCATTATAAAAGAGGGAGGAGCTAACGCTAAACACAATATAACTGGAGACTGCTATGATGGATTGCTCCTGGACCAATGAGCACTAAGCACTAATAAAACACAGAATTAAAGGGAAAGCAACACAAAATGTGATACCCAAAGACAGTTTTCTACTCTTTTTTTTTTCTCCAGTTTAACAGACATGAACCCTCTTTTGTGTTTTCCTGCAGGAAGCAGCCATGGCCAAACTCACCGCATCAGAAGCCGTCACATTCTGCTCTCATCAGGTAAGAAGAATCGACCACGCAGACGGTTAAGCGTGCAGAAAGAGACGGGACGTTTTTAACTTTTGGTGTGTTTTGCACTTTTCCATCAGGCGATCCAGGTTCTGGGTGGGATGGGCTACGTGTCAGACATGCCCGCTGAGAGGCACTACCGCGACGCTCGCATCACAGAGATCTACGAGGGCACGAGTGAGATCCAGAGGCTGGTGATCGCCGGCCAGATCCTGAAGGAATACCAAGCATAGACGCCGCACGCCACAATATGGACGAGTAATAATCACGCACACTGGGACATCACCTCATTCATTCAGATTTAAAAGGAGCCGCGTTGATCGGGTGAGACCTCATCTGAGTTTCACGTGATTGTGCGTGCCCGTTACCTCCGCCGTCTCGTGTGTCGGTGAACTACAGGAGAGGCCACTTAATGTTTGGAAAAGAGCGCCGGTGACTTCAACAGCGCCTTCCTGAAAAGTTGAGTGATTTTCAATTTGACGGATGGAGCGGGTGGAGCGCTCAGAAAAAAGACGCTGGCGTTTGATTTTTTTCAAGGCGGCCGCTTTCTCCTGAGAACGATCTCAGATGCTGGCGCTCAGAAAAAAAAAAACACCAGGTGGACACGGGGCCTTCGATGTCATTTTATAACACATCTCTGCAAAGAACTTTATAAAGCAACTCATAAAAACGTCCCCTGTCGACCTTATTTTACTGACTGACATGTTGAGTAATTTCATGTGAATGTGAAGAGCTGCAGATTAAAGCGTCACTTTCCCGTTGTGGTTATATCCATAACTTTAGAGCGCTCGCCTTTTAAATAAAACACATAGAAATGTTGTGGTTTGTAAAAGACGAAACAGAAGCTGTGTGGTTGACCTTAAAGGAAGAATCTGCAACTTTTTTTGATCCAGTAGATGTTGCCCATGAGCTCCAGAATTAAACCAAAACAAACTGCTGTTAGGCCACGCCTCCTCCAGAGACACACCTCCAACCCCCCCGTCCCCTCACGCTCACAGGAAGGAGTTGTTGATTAAGAACGCACCATAATTAAAATGGTCCTTATCTCGAGCTGCAATCACCTGTGTCCTGCATTGTTGTGTTAGCATGCTAATGTTAGCGCTCTTTAGTTAGCTCATTGCTTCACATTGTTATGTTAGCATGCTAATGTTAGCGCTCTTTAGTTAGCTCGTAGCTTCACATTGTTGTGTTAGCATGCTAATGTTAGCGCTCTTTATTTAGCTCGTAGCTTCACATTGTTGTGTTAGCATGCTAATGTTAGCGCTCTGTAGTTAGCTCGTAGCTTCACATTTCATGTAAACTGACACAGAATGAGCGTGATCTAAAAACTCTTACTAACATCCAAATAATCAGTGAGTGTGTTCTTCTTCTCTCTAGTTCTTGACTAAAACAGCTTTTATACACAAGGGGAGGAGCCGGCCGTCCCGTCCATGTAAACACGGCTCTGACAACAACACAGCCAGCGGGACTCGAGCTTCTCCCTCATTGTAGACAGTCATGACTCAGAGACACATTTACACAGGACAGACTTTATGATTTATTGATGTGGAACATGTCGATCATTCTTCCTTTAAAGGTGCTAACGATGTTCAGGTTATCTGCAGTTTGTAAACGCCACTTTTTCCCCAATATTACCTGTCAAACATTACAGAAAAAAAGTTCCTCCAGGTGTCGCCTTTTCAGTGATAAACATCCAAAATGTAGATTGTAAAAGACGAGACGGACGCTCCAGGCTCGACCTTAAAGGTGCTCAAAAGTTCTGATTATGTGGAGAAGAAAAGCTTGTGTACTGACCCTTTAAGATCCAGTCTGCCTACATGAGGAAAAACACTTCTTTTTTTTCTTGCATTTTGCAGTTTGGCCAGCAGAGGGCGACGGCATGCTTTCATATGTGTTGACCTACTTTTTCCTGCCTCACAGATTCATGAATGAGTGGAAATAAAAGCCAGAATGTGCAGATGAAAAAAAAAAAAACCTCCTTCAATCTGGAAGTGAACAAACATGTGATCACTTTATGAAACGGTTTGAAACACTTCACGTCTGTTTTCTTTGTTTTTCATCTCAGACTTCTTGTGCCTCGGTAACGTGTACATATTTTACTGTAATTTATAGTGTGATGATTAAAACATAATTACAGCTCAGAGGAGTGATGGATTTTATTTTAACATTTAGAATTTAAAGAGGTGAAAGAAGATGTTGGACTGAAGTTAAAGGTCCAATCAGTGACAGCCCCCTCCCCTCTGTGCTCCCTCTAAAGCCACGCCCCCTCACTTACATGCACGAGCGCCGTCCCTCCAGAAGTGGACCTCAGCTCATCTCTGTCATTGTGTAGAAACTACGTCGTCTCATGTCTCATTCAGCGGTCAGTAAACTCACAGTTTAAACTCCTAAAGTCATCGGTGACGCTCTTTGAGTGTGAGCTAGAGCACGCAAGAGGTAGAGAGCGAGCAGGGAGACAGGGAGGCGTCTGATTGGTTCATCAGATTGGTACCTCGTGGCAGACATTGGTCAAAGTTTTTACAGACTTACAAACTGATACAGATGATGGATTTTCTTTGTTCCTTTTTCAGAGAACATGAGTTATTAATTTCTGTCAGGACCTAAAGACAATTTACACCAGAATCTGAAGAAGTGGATCTGGAGGAAATGACCAACCCTGACTTTAAATAAGGTCTTAATGCAGCACGTTAAATAAACCTTAAAGGTGGAGTCAGGAGCATCACGTTCTATAATTTAATCTTTGAACACATCAAGTCAAACTTCCTCTTCAGGACTTTTTCTTCTTCCTGTCCGACCTGACGGACGAGTCGGAGACGACACCGATCGTCTTGATCTGAAACTTTCAGACGTCACAGCTTTAGACTGGAGTTAAAGAAACACCTGAATGAATCAGAATAACTTTATAATTACTGACAGAGACAAACTCCTCCTCTCAGGAGAGACACTCCTCCATGATGACATTTACAAGATCAATAAAACACAACAGCAGATAGAAAGAGGGATTCAGATCAAGTGTAGAAACTTTACTGATCCCGAGGGAAATTCAAAGTATCCAGTATCAGGTTACAAAGACATGACATGAAACATTTGTGACAAATTAACCACAAAACCAACGCCCCCCCCCCATACATATATATTAACCTGAAAAAAAGATTTAAAGAATCCCCCTAGATGAAACAAACTTAAACTGTGCAATTTAAAATAGAAAAAAAGAAAGAAAGTCGTAGCGACTATATGACATATGAATGAAATGATAAAAAGATTAAGTGATAAGAAAAGAAAAAGTAAACATATAAAGTAAATTATAAATTGATTAAATGATAATAAAAGAAAAAGAACATATACGATAAAAAGAAATTCAACAATTGCATAACTCTTTCTGATCTCTCAACAACTGTGGAGTGATTTCAGATCACCGTGTGCAGATTATAATCTCTCCCTGCAGGGTAATAACTCCAGCACACAGAGATACAGACGATGATGCCTTCAGGGACTCCTCAGAGTTCAAGTGAAAAAGAGACGACAGTTAACCAGTTAACACGCTGAGCAGATTATATTTAAAGACACTCCAACAAACCGACCAATCAGGATCATCTTCATCATCATCATCATCATCATCATCATCATCATCATCATCATCACATCATCATCATCATCATCATCATCTTCATCTTCATCATCATCATCTTCATCATGTATTACATCTTCTCTGGTAAAATCTTCAGTTCATCAAAAGTTCCAATGAATGGAAACATCCTCTCAGTGAAAGTGTGTGTGTGTGTGTGTATGTGTGTGTGTGTGTGTATGTGTGTGTTAGTATCAGGATCAGAGAACGACAGCTCTCCTCTGTTACAGTCCAGATTCACTCTGATCCTCTGAAGCTTCTTCTTCACTGAGAGAGCAGTGAGTGGATGTGGTGGGGAGCGTGCTGTGTATTTACCACCAGTGAACCATATTGACCAACATCCAGACCATATGTCTCCCTTCCTCTGTCCAGACTCTGCTAACACACCCAGAAACCAGAATGTACTGTCTCCAACCTGGACGTCCCAGCTGTGAGTCCCTGAGTTAAAGCCCTCAGAGCCCAGGACAGAGCAGAAAGAATCAATCCTCTCTGGATTATCAGGAAGCTGCTGCTCCTCTCCTCCTCTCACACAGGTCAGATCTTCAGACAGGATGAGTTCTGGATGAGCAGTGTTTGGGTCCAGAATGACCGGACTGTAGGAGACCATGTCCTTCATCTTGTTCCAGATGTTGAAGCTCAGGTTGCCCAGGTGTTTGGCCTGGTCTATCAGAGCTCCTGAGGGCAGCTGTGGATCCTCCAGCAGGGGGCGCTGCTGGACTCTTTCCACTGCAGCCTTGTAGTTTTTCAGGAATGAGACGTCTTCAGCTCTCAGCTCGTCCTCTGTGTCTCTGACTGTGTGTGAAAGAGCTGCTATCTCTCTGCTCAGAGCCTCCATCTCCTCCTTCATCCTCTGACTCTTCTGCTCCTCTTCCTCCCTCAGTGCACACAGCCTGGCCTCCTCTTCCTCTTCTAGAAACTGGTGAAGCTTCTTAAACTGCTCCTTAATCTGCCTCTCTGTGTGTCGGGCCTGGACCTGAATGTGTTCTGCTGTTTGATCAAACTTCACTTTAACTTTTTTTAAAACATTTAACTTCTTCTTTACCGGCTCCAGAGTTTCCTGAAGTTTCTTCTTGTGTTGTCCAGCAGCTTCATCGATGGGTCTGAATCTGTGTTTGTTGTGTTTTTCTGAATCTCTGCAGATGTGACACACCGGCTCCTGATGGTCCAGACAGAAGAGTTTGAGTTTCTCAGAGTGCAGACTGCAGAGATCCTCTGAAGCTCTCTGATCTCTCTCCTGCACAAAACTCTCACTCAGGTTCTTTAAAGCAAAGTTAACAGGTAATTCCTTTGAATGTCTCCTCTTACAGAGTGGACACTCCTGGTTCTCCTTCTCCTTCCAGCAGTCCTTCACACACTCTCTACAGAAACTGTGACTGCAGGACAGCATCACTGGATCTTTAAAGATGTCGTAGCAGATCGGACAGCTCAGATCTTCTTCAAACTTGGACGACATTTTATCTCAGAGTCCAAACACGCAGCAGAAAAAAACAAGAAGCCACTCCCCGTCCCTGAAAGTTTCTCTCACCTCGATTGTCTTTCTTTGAAACTCTCGTTCAGTTTGTGGATTCAGCAGCAGGCTGAAGTGTTGGTATTCCCAGTATCCCAGTATAACAAGTACTCCCAGTATCCCCTCCTCCTCCTCCTGTCCTCTCTCAGTGGAAGTCGTGCTGGTTTGTGTCTGCAGGTCGGTCCGTCTGTCAGCGTGTGTGTGTCTCTTCAGGGTGAGGCAGAATAACAGCCTGTTTCCTGGTTTGCCTCAGGTAAATCAGGTGAGGGGGCGGAGCTTCTTCAGAGCAGGAACACAGAGAACAGTCTCATTTCTCTTCCTGCAGCTTGAAGTTTTGAAGACAATTTGTGAGTCAGCCTGAAGATAGAAGAACACCTGGAAGGTTTTATATCACTAAAGGTGAACTTTAAACGTCTGCAGCCTCACCGGAGATGAAGAATGATTTTTAATCATGTAAGAGTATTTAGACCATGGAAAGCAGTGTTTCCCCTAGGTGTAGAGCTCTGCAGGGGGGGGGGGATAGTTAAAGGAATAATGGTGTTCATGTGTTTCTTTTAATGACAGCAGTCAATGTAACAACTGAACAATTATTTGAACTTGCAACGGTCTGTCCAGTTTAGTTTTTATTCCTGCAACTCCCGTTTCTGAGCGCACCTGAATGCATCTCTCATTGTCTGAGCTCCCCTGAATGCAGCATGCTGACAGCACACCCCTGAGTAACAGCAGAGAGAGAGACATGCCCAGAAAAGTCTGAAATCAACTAAGCAGACTACTTTATTTTCTGATACTTTTTAAGGACTTTTTATTATTGTGTGTGCGTCCGTCAGACAACCACACACACCCAGACCTCCACTGGTGAGTGTGTGTGTGTGTGTGTGTGTGTGTGTGTGTGTGTGTGTGTGTGTGTATATGGGGTGTGGAAAGTACGGTGGCTGGTAAGTGCAAAGCAAAATTACGTGTTAAACACTTTTACAAGAATGTGAGACAAATTTACATTTTGAAAAACATTTTTATATTTTATGAAACAAAATTACAAAACCAAAAACACTTACCAAGGAGAAAACAAATTTACACTTTTATAATCGCTGAGACAAAGAGGCAGAACACTTTTACCAGTCCCCAAACAAATTTACAAACGACAGAATCTTGACGGAAAGGGAATGTACCGCGACAAAACAAAACAAACAAAATGACCCCTCACTCGATCACTTCCGGGTCACTTCCGACATTTGGTACATTCCCATTTTGTCAAGATTCTGTCGTTTGTAAATTTGTTTGGGGATTGTAAAAGTGTTTCACATCTTGTAAATTTGTTTTATAAGATGTAAATGTGTTTTTTCCTTGGTATTAGTGTTTTGGTTTTCTAAAAATGTAAAAAGGTTTTTCAAAATGTAAATTTGTCTCTCATTTGTAATTTTGTTTTGCACTTCCCAGCCACCGTACAAATGAGATCGTTTCTTCTTAAAAGTAACTTTAGTCGTTGTTATCGTGTTTATACTGTTAATGCACGTGTTACACTATCTTGTAGTTTGTGTTGTTGAAATTATAAACTGCATTCACAGCAGCATGTCAAAGTTATTAGTACTTTTTGTGTTAGCTAACCTACTAGCTAGCATGCTAGCGAAAGTTCTCTGTTCGCATACAGCGCAGATGGGGGCTGGAGACATTGCCATGGTAACAGCAAGCTCAGCCAATCAGAGATGTGGCTGTGACACTCATGGGTCATGGGTTGTGAAGTTCTTTTTAAAGAGATATTAAAGATATTATATAGAGATTTTTTCATACTGGGGTAGCTCGAGGTCAGTGTACCTTGCATGGTTATTATATTACAGTCAAAAATCAAATCCGCTGTCCGAGAAAATGAAGGGGATTTTTACTTCCGGCACCTCACTGTTGAGCTCTATGACCCCCCCTGAGTTTTCCCCGTAGACTTCACTCCTCTGTAGCGAGAATAAAAATGGCCGACCTACGCTAAAGTTTTGTTCTTGGCTGGGGGTGGAGTCCATGGGTGGAGATACCAGGGGAGGGGAGGGGATTTTTTTATGTCCAGAATCCCACTGTGACATCACAAGGAGAGCACATTTGAAACAGAGCATTTTTCTTATGCAGACCATAAACAAAGGACTGGATGGGTTTATTTCACATTTTGTGGGTCAGTAGACACTCAGGTTATCCAGATATATGTTCAGAAACATTGTAGAAGTGGATTTTTCATAATATGTCCCCTTTAAATGTTTTGACTATTAACCTCATAATTTCGACTTAATATAGGCAAAAAAGAAACATTTAGTTCATGTGTGTTTATTCAGGATGTGAAACTTCATTTTCTTCACACATCAAATCAGTAAAGTATGTTCAATCATTTCATGAACACATTCACTTCATCCACACAATCACTTTGTTTGATCAGAATCTCCACTCACAGAAAACAATGATTTATCTCCTTATTGATTTAATCAGGAGGATTACATCTCTAAAACACCTCAGAGGACATTTTTACATCACTTTGAATATGAACAACAACATTTATTCTGACTAACTAATTTCTTTAAGTGTGATTTTATAGATTTTCTACAAATGTACAAAGTGGTGAGAAGAGAAAATCAGCATGAAAGAAAAGTTTGCTGCTCTCTCTCTCTCTTCAGACTCCTGAATCAGAACAGAAACAACAGAAAATATAAATGTATGAAAACAAATAATCAAACATCCAGAGCGGAGAGAAGTTGATATTTATCACTCAAAGAAATGTCAGTTCAGGTGAACAAAAGTCATCCTGAGCAGTAAAAGAGTCCACGGCTAAACAGACACAGGAAGGAGTGTCACTTAAAGACACTTAAACATTTACAGAACAGACAAGAAGAGGTCAAAGTACTGCCCATAAAGTTTGATTGACAGGTGACCACGATACGATCTCAGCAACGAGCGTGGATAAAAATGAAGTTGACGATTTAAAACACAGCAAGTTAAACATCTGTCTCGTTAATGACTTCTGTCTATTTCAGTTTACACAACTCAGCAGAGGCTCCAACACACCAGTAATCAAACTTGAGTCCAGCATGTAGAGGCTGAGTGAATGTGGTCTGGACTCTGTGGAGGAGAGTCATGGTTTCAGAGATGTTGTAGAAGGACAGAATACCTGCTCTGTGATCCAGGTACACTCCTACTCTGAAGGCCAGAGGACCCGAGACAAAAGTGCAGACATTTTTGTAATAAAAGTCATAATTGTTGTTTTCACTATCTAACGACCAAGATTTGTCATTACGTCCAAATTCACACTTATTCGATCTCCCTGCTCTTCGGATATTTTTGTATGTGACTGCTACAGAAACACCTATTCCGCTCTGCTCCACCTCCCAGTAACAACGTCCAGTCAGACTCTCTTTACTCAGGACCTGAAGACATCCAGTGAATCTGTCTGGGTGACTAGAATAAGGATGGGTCTGACCCGTAAATGTTACTTTTCTGTTCCCATCAGATAATAACAGATGTTTGTGTGCTGTGTTTGGATCCAGTGTGATGTCACATGAATATTTTAAGAACTCAGCTCTGGTCTTGGGCTCTGGTTCTGACAGTAAAACATTCACTTCAGTCACTGTCTGTGAGATGTTTGTCCATTTCTCTCTCAGGATGTCCTGTAATTTATCTCTGATTTCTGACACAGCCGCTGTCACGTCCTCAAAGAACCTCAGAGGACGGATCTTGATGCTGGATGAGTGTGTGGATTCACTGAGTGGTGACAGTGAGGGGTAGTCATGTAGAAACTGATTGTGGTCCTGTGTGTGTGACAGCTTCTTCATCTCAGCGTCTCTCCTCTTCAGCTCAGTGATCTCCTGCTCCAGCTTCTCCTGAAGCTCTCTGACTCGACTCACTTCAGTTTGCTGCTGGGATCTGACCTGCTGCTTCACATCAGAGCGTCTTTTCTCCATGAGACGGATTAGCTCAGTGAAGATCTTCTCACTGTTCCCCACTGTTTTATCAGCGGAGCCATTGATAGCCTCCACCTCCTGTTGGAGCAGCTTCACATCTTTCTCTCTGTCCTGGATTCTCTGCTGGATGTTTTGTCGACTCACCTCCAGCTCTCTCTGCTTCTCACTCCTTTCTGCTGCAGCTGAGACTGTGTCATGACCTTTGTGTTCGTCCACAGGGCAGAGATAACAGATAGACTGCTGATCAGTACGACAGAACATCTTCATCGCCTCATCATGACGAGAGCAGACGTTCTCCTGGAGCTTCTTGGAGGGCTCCACCAGCTTGTGTTTTGTATAGGCAGGTATTTCATGCATGGAGGTGGAGGTGTTTCTCACAAAATGAGATCAAACAGAAGAGACAGGACTTACAGGCTTTCAGTTTTCTCCCGGTGCAGACATCACAGGCCACATCTTCAGATCCAGCATAGCAGTGATCAGCAGGAGCAGCTTGGAGTCCAGTCTTCTTCAGCTCCTCCACTAAATCTGCCAACATGGTGTTTTTCCTCAGGTCAGGCCTCGCTGTGAAGGTCTGTCTACACTGAGGGCAGCTGTAGACTGTCTTCTCATCCTCTGTATCCAGTGGCTTTTAATACACTTCATACAGTAACTGTGTCCACAGGAAAGAGTCCCCGGATCCTTCAGGAGATCCAGACAGATCGAACAAGTGAAGGTTTCCCGGTCCAGCTGAACTCCTTTCTGTGCCATTTCTCCTCTCGGTAACAACGACTGTTTGAGATTCACTGAAAACAAGTTTCACCTCGGATCTACAAAGCATGTGGATGTGCATGTGACTGTGCAGCTCTGGTTGGTTACACCCATCCTCAAACTGTAGATCTAAAGGGGAGGGAACCATGAAGTATGAAGACAGAGTGCAGCAGGCTGTGTTTGAGAGCAGGAAGAAGAGGGAGGCTGACCAAACTACGATTCATTCCAGGAAGAGGAGCGGTTTGAGAGAGATACTTGTTTACAATAGAGAACATTTCTCTTTTAAAAACACTTCTCATTTTAGATTTTAGAAAAGGTGTCACACTCACTTTATTTCAAAATAAAAGCAGGGTTGAATATAAACAGCAAGTAAAGTATACTGTCAGTATAAGGAGGTACAAAACTTCAAATATTGTAGAATGATCGAGGGTCGGTGATCAACATACAGCTCCATTTTCAGGAGAGAAAACAACGCAGTGTAAAAGCATGTTCTGCCTGTCGTAAAGCAGTCTAGTGCCGTAA